GGTAATTGTTCAGCATTTCATCCTCTCTGTAATAAACTATAATTAAAAATTTTATCTTAACGCTATGCTGTTTTAGGGAGGTGAAAAGGAAAAAATAGTGTCAATAACCAAATGATAACGGGGTTAGTTGAATACATGGATTAAAATATTTCAGATACTAAAAATCTGACCAGTGCACTGTAACAGAGGGAAATGTTCAGCATTTTGCCTTCTTTGTAATGAGATATTATTCAAAATTGTATCTTAACCCAACACCGTGTAAGAGAGTAGGAGAGGGTAAAAGATAGTATCCCAAACTAAATGATAACGAGTTCATGCTAATATATACTACAAATGCTAATATTATTACAACATTGAAATTTTATTTTGACAAAATTATTAACAATATATGAAAAATAAGAAGAGAAATAATATAAATGATAATAATAGCAGAAATTCTTATACATAATAGAAAATATATAATAATAATAGAACATTTCATTCCAACTGGAAATTTCTGGAATATTATACAGTCGTTGGATACAACATGGACTAGTAAACACCACTAATTTAAATAAATACATTATAAATCCATTAAGGACATTTTTAGATTGATCTTGCTTTGATGTCTATATTTTATGCAATAATTTTGTTATTAGCTTTAAAAATTCTTTATCAAACAAAATTAAACTAATTAATCCAAATTTCAATACACCTAGAATACATGGATTAGTAAAGTTACATAAAAGTGATACTCCCACTTAGTGCTATCATTAGCAATATCAATGGGGAAACTGAAAAATTTGGCAAAATATCTCAATTCCACATCTAATAATCTAAATTCAGATTTTAACAATAAGTAAAAAACTCAATGGTGGTGGATCAGAGTAAATAAAAAGACAACAGGTAAATATTCTTTGGTCTGTTTTAATGTAGAAAATTTATTTACCAATATTAACTGGAAATATGTAATAAAAATAATTGAAAAATACTGGGATACAAAAGAACTGTATATAAAAATTTAAGGGCTTTATAGAATATATGGATTAAAATATAATATCTCAGAAGCTAAAAACCAGACGTGCATAATGTAAGCGAGGGAAATGCTTAACATTTGACCCTCCTTATAATGAGCTATTTTTTATTAATCTTTCCTTGTTGCTGTTTTCACTGCTATCGTGTGGTCTAAAGCTCACACGTTAGTTTTTTTGTTTTTTTTCATTGGATTTTCCCATACAGCCAGTTATGATATTATTTATTTTGATTCCTATTCTTTACCAAGTTAGGTTTTATTTGTGCTAGTTTACACTCTACCCTTTCCAATCTTTCTCTCAATCTGTTTGTTTTCTTTGCTTGGTGCACCTAATTTTCTAAGATAACATCCTTCAAATTAGATAGCCCCGCTTTTATCCACTTCTACTAGCGAAATGGGCTGCATGGTCAACTTTTTCATTGCTGAAAATAAATGCCATAAGACTGCAGATATGCCTTAATCTTTTACCTGTCATCACACGTTTGTTATTTCTCTAATTTTTTATTTATTTCCCTCTCCCTTCCTTGTTTTTTCGACAATATGGGATTCCATTTCATTTTATATATCAATAAAATATAACAATTTTCTTGTTATATTCCTCTTTTCTTGTTATATTTTTATTCTGAAGTCATCCCAGATTAAGATTGTGGAAGTCTACATCTTACTCCCATATTGAAATAGGCTGCACCTAGTTGTTCCTTCCACCCATACACGAATGCCTCATAGTATGGGTAGTTATCTGTAATGACGAGTAGAGGTAAATCTCCTTCGTTGATACTGTAGATAATTGTGTTCCTCATTGGCTTGGCCCTCAATGCTCAAACGCAGTACAATTGGTGATCAAATGTTTGGCAGTTTATGGGATACCACAACTGAAGCATAGGGGATCGTTACATTTTCCTAGACTATGTAACTTGGCACGACAACCCCTATGTCCAGTGAGAAACTGAGAGACCCAACAGTCTGGTTTGATCCATCTGGCTGCTAGTGGAGACTGTATGGTGGGAATTATTTCTCTATTAAGCAATCACTTGGGTATATATTGTCTATGGCAGTTAGAACACTCCAATGTGTGTTATGACGATCTAGCAATTTTTTTTTTAATTTTCAATCACATAAAGAGGATATACCTGCCATCTCTCCAATTAATATAGAGCAGGTTAAGGAGTTGGTTTTCTAAGGCCAATTAAATTTGTTAAAAAACAACAGATAAAATTTGTAATGATAAATGAATGACGGATATAATATATTTACTATTTATTATGCAAAGCAGCACTCTGAATGTTTATTTGGAGAAGATTAACAGTAATGTAATTTTTGCAAAATATAAGACTTATACCCTTTCCAAGAAAATGACCCCTAAAACTAAAACCATGAACATTCCTAAAATTAGATGATAAAGATCTATAAATTTACCATTAAAAAAAAATCTGATTTATTAATAAATTTTAGATATTGAATATTTAATTAAAAACCGTTGCATTATAAAGGAAGGAGATGGTCCGGGGTTGCGGTCATAAATAGAATACACTATTTATGACCGCAACCCCTGAGATTATTTAATAAAATAATACAAAAAGAAAATCTTACAAATAAATCCTCGTGGGCTTTGCTGGGTGATTTTCATACAGAACGTTCCAGGTGTGTTTGATTCATCACTGTTACAATCTACAGCTACAAATCTATCTTTTTGGAACTTCTCGTAAGCTCCACAATTATCCTCATTTTTAGGGTCATTATCAGAGGCACATTGGTAACACCTAATAGCTTCAGCTACATGAAAAACAAAACAAATCATCAAAAGAAAAAACAATATATTTATTAATATAATATTTTTCAAGGATGTCTTGATGATTAACTATATAGGTTAATTATAATTATTAATTATATAGGCCCCTTCTGCTACAAGCCAAATGGTAAGTGTAGATAAGTAAGTTTTGATCATATTTTCCAGTTAAAAATTCATAAATTGAATTCACCAGAAGGCACTGTAAACACTCCTTGAGGTTCTACGTCTTAGTTACTTACAAGCTTTTCTCACTTATTAAGCTGGATTAACACTGTATCACTTTTAGGATACATCCAGAGAGATTCATAATTAAACACGTTTCCATGCATAATTCATCGTTACATGTACATGTGAATTGTGTTCTACAAGAAGAAATATATGCAATCATTGACTTATGAACTGAAAACAAATACATCGACAATTGGTCATGCTCCAGTGTTGGTGGGTGAAAGCATGAGTTTGAAGAAGGAAATCTTTTTTTTATATTAGCTTTTATGTAACCTACAGTTAATTAAAAAATATTCACATCTGACAGCATAGTGGAATAAGATTTTTGCCACAAATTAGATTTGATGAAATAACTGCATCTAATCATCGATAGGAACTAGTATTGCATTTATGATTCAAGAAATAACACATGGTAGCTGTAGATGCCAATTATTTAGTGATAATAAATTAATACTTTAGTTCAATACAGGAATAATAAAAAACAATTACACAATGCCACAGGTTTTCATTCCTGACTGTCAGGATTAGAAGCAGTTGTTAACATATTTTATTACACCTTCATTCTGGACGAATCATTGGTTCAAGGAATTTGATGATTTATGTAGTCATAAAAAGTGGGATACCACTCAACTTCTTTCATCGCCAATCTTCGATGAGCACTTTGGACAAAATAATTACCACGTAAGATTAGGGATTTCAAACTATGGTGCACATAACGAAATCTGGCCTGCAGAAGTTTCTTTTAATTACATGGTGAAATTTTACACAAGATTACCATTTAAACATTTAATGTTCTTGTTTTTTCTTTTAGAAAGCCCATTTCACAACTGAAATGTAATTTATAGAACAGGATTTTATTTTTCATCACTTAGTGGAAGCTGTGGATTTAACAAGGCCAAAAAAAGTTTAGAAACAGCTCTAGATGACCATTCTTCCATGATCATCAAAAATGATTAAATCATCAAGAAAAGCATAGCAGTCAATTTTGATGTATAATTTGGGTGAAACAAATATGAAAGCCAATCTACACTTATCATGGTGGAGACACTAATAAACTAAGTATCAGGCTATCCTCATTAAGTGAAAAACATCTTAATTATATCCCATAGATGTTTTTCCTGAGTATAATCTCTATTTCATTAAATACATATTTAAAATCTCAGCCATACATAACTTAGATACATAACTGTCATAATTAGTAATAGTAATCAGATTTCATAAATATTATGAAAGTTGATAATTATCATAAAAGCAGGTTCAAAGATTCCTCAAATCTCTTGACATCTGCATAGCTAAGAGCTTTTAAACTTGTAATGAGATCAAAACAACGGTGAATTGTCAAGTAAAAATCTTATATGCAGCTACAATACTAGTTGTAGCCTTATCTTTCACTCTTACAAACAAAAAAATGGTCTTATTTTTTTCTTTTGCAATGTGTTCCACCATTACTTTCTTGAACACAAAGTAATAGTATCAATTACAAATAATTACAAGCAAAAAATGGGATTATGTTATGTTACTAAATATTAAGTAAAACTTAGTAAACAAGTTTACATACTCAAAGAAGTTAACTTACAACCTAAAGGTTAGATTAAGTTAAATAAACTTACAAATAACAACAAATGACAAAAGAACTAATAGGATATCAACACAATTTAACAAGGCCATGTTGAAATATTAAAATATTTATCAGTCCATCAAAACAATAAGTCGAATAACTTTTATTTACCAACACTACTAACCCTACCACACCCCTTCAGCAACAATGCCAAGGTAATATATATATAAAAATAAATATTTTGTACAATTAACTGATTAAATCAATTTAAATAAATAATAAGCCATATTTTTAAAATACATTCATAAGAATCGTTTAAAAAAATACAAGAAATATATAATTTTGGCTGTGTTGAGTCACGTGGGATCTCACCTTGAATGGAAGGGATGGTGAAGGCTCCTCACTCAAAGGCCGGATAAGTGACCGATAGTTTGTATTTATTTTTTTTAATTTTGTGTATTATTTTTAACTGTCAGGATAGGAACTTGGAGACTTTACCTTCATCATTAATGAAAGTTTTTTTATGTTGTTAATACATATCTTAATTGACATTATTAAGATATAATCAGTGCACATTAAGTCAGATCTGTCAGTGTTTTTTTAAAAGTTCGTTCTGTTAGTTATGTCAATATGATTTATTAAGAACAGTATTGAAGAAAAGTAGAGTTGATACTTCATTTTTATTAAAATGGAAGATGACAAAAGCAGTGTTTCAACATCCAATGACATTTCAGTTAAATTGGAAAATGAGACATCAATAGAAGAATATGCTATAAAGGAAGAATCCCCTTTGGAGTTGCCTTCTGATATTAACATGAAGTCTGATACATCTGTGCCCTGTTTAATATCCAGTCTTACATCTGATATTAAAAATGAATCAGTTGAAATCCAAGTAGGTTCATCCTCAGAAATAGTATCAGACAACACTTCTGTTGGAACTGAGTTTCTTACTGAAACCAAAGATGAAAGTGAAGCTAATGATTTTTCTGATATGAGTAAATCAGACCCCATTAAAATTGAGGTCAAAAAAGAGTCAACAAATTTTGAGCTAGAATGTGCTGTGCCATTAACTAGCGAGACAAGTGGATCTGTTGTAAATAACTTGGATAAAAAATCTATTGACCCTGGAAGTAAAGTCACCCTTAAAAGGAAAAGTGATTCACTAGCTCTAATTTCTTCATATCAAATAAGCTCTGAATCGGAGGAAGACATGAAGAGGGATGCGTTCCTGAAACCACAGGTTTTGTCTGAGACTGATTCTGAAAGTGATACTGACTCTGAATCCGATGGATTACCAGTATTCAATGAGTATGTTCTGGCATGACATGGAAGCATGACTTAATTTAGTTATTTATACAAGATGAAAATTAATAAAGGTTCTTTTGTTTCAGGGATTCCGATGCAGCTTCTGAATCAGGTGATGAAGCAGTTTCAAGTGGTATCAAACAGAAAAAATCTGGTAGAAATATCAAAGCCCCTGGAGAACTTGATGTTGATGATCTTCCACCAATTAAAGATTTACAAATATCCGTTAAGGAAGAAGAGTGTTTGCCTTTTGGCAAAGTTCACAGTATTGTCGAAACACTGGGTAAGTTTATAGCCTTATGCTTAACCTTGTTTCGATTAGATATAACGATTATATTTGACACTAACTGAAAATATGTTTTGGTTTACTGTATTAAAGTGTTGCCTGAAATATTTTGCTGTTCGTGCTGTGAACATTGCAGTACAGTATTATTTGTCATTACAACACTTTATTTTAATCTAATATATTTTTTAATATAATCATAAACTATCCTGTAAGATGTTAAGGTTGAGGAAGTTTAGCCTTCCTCCTGGCAATTTACTATAGCACCAAGCCAGGTTATCTGTAGGATATAGGTGCCTTTACAAATTTTACAAACTGTGGCACAAGCAAATATATAAATGGTTACTTCTCTATGCTAGTATTTTTGTTTCTTGTTTTTGATATTTTCCATTTGCTGTCGGTATCAAGCGAAATAAAATAAATATTTTGGTTTAGCAATAATGTTGCTGTTAGCTAAGTTCGTTACTTCTCTATGCTAGTATTTTTGTTTCTTATTTTTGATATTTTCCATCTGCTGTCGGTATCAAGAGAAATAAAATAAATATTTTGGTTTAGCAATAATGTCGCTGTTAGCTAAGTTCATTGTGTTTCCTATATTTTGTGAAATGTCTATACGCACCTTAACATCTACTTGTCCTAGTTAACAACAAAAAATCTGTTTTCTTATAGATTAAACTTTATATTTATATTATTTTACTCTTAAAATATTTATCACTGAACGGTCCAAACATTTTTTTTTTCTGTTTGTTATTTGAGTTTTACCTCAGATTATATTTTGGAGGCAACAATTCAAAATTTGAACTGCAATAATTAAAGATGGGCTGATCTTGTGATCAACGTTAATATAAAGTTGATTATATTTTTATTTACCCTATGTTTAAATTGATGCTTTTTATTCTCTCCTTTATTAATTGACTATTATCATCCGTATTATTATATTTTCCTTTGCAGTTATTAATGTGTATTGAGTCTGATGATATTAGCTTTTTCAAAAGTAGGATTTGTGAAAGGAAAAGGATAAATTTTTTGGTTGGAAAATTTAAATAATTAGTTTAATAGTTACTTTTTTAGTGTAATATTTTTTTATGGTTATTCATATTAATATTAAATTATGGTAAATTTTTTATTTCAGTTGTTATTGAGGCACTTCCAGATGTTCCTGCAATAAATTTGGAATCAGTACTTTTTACGAAAATCGGGCAACCTCTGGGAGAAATATTTGATGTTTTTGGACCTGTTAAAAGACCTTACTATACTATACGATTTAATAATCGTAATGAAATTGAGTCCAAATCTCTTTCTGTTGGAACTATAGTATATTGTGCTCCAAAGACCAAGTATACTCAGTATGTCTTTATACATCAGCTTGCGAAGTAAGCAATTTTTTTTTTTTTTTTTAACTGCTTTTAAAGACTAATAAACATATTTGTTTGTGAATTATACGGTTATCTTTTTTCTTTAAAGTTATGTGTTTAGTATAAAACTTATAGATAAACAAAAAGATGAAGGTATGGACACATAGTAAAAAAATCTTGTTAGTGGATAACAGTGTATTTGTTATAAAAGTTTGCATTTAGATCTATGAATGAAACTATATATAAAAAAAATCTTGTGTGCGCACCACACAACTTTCACTTACCACTCTACTTTGATTAGTACTTTATAATGAATGCGTCCTGAATATTTATCACCCATAAAAGTAAAAATAGTTTTAAGTAATTGAAAGATACAAAGATGACATTAAAATTGATTGTCTCCAAGGGAGTATAATATATTTTTTGATCTCATTAAATGAATTTGTACAACTGTTTCATATAACAGTTAGTATAAAAGCATTATTTCTTAACTTAATAACAGTAATCAATAAATTGTCTATATATTTAATATATAAGCATTTTGTATATATATATATTTATTTATTCATAATTGGTAATTGGTTGACTGTCGTGGATAATGAAGAGAAGAATAGTTGGGGTGCTCAGTCAAAAAGGAAGGCAAAAATAAATTATAATATTTATTTTTTACTATTTATAATAATATAATATTTATAAAAAAATAAATATTATAATTTATTTTTGCCTTCCTTTTTGACTGAGCACCCCAACTATTCTTCTCTTCATTATTTATTTATTCAATGAATTTCAATCATTCATATAATATAGAAATCATAATTAAACTATAATTGAATAATAGTTTGGTGAAAAAAATGTGTTTCAATGTAAAAATGGACTAATTTACTTTTTCATCTTATTGACAAATATTTTGTATACATGTTTTATATAAGCTATCAATACCTTGATGTTTCACATAAATTAGCTGTTCTCGATAGTTTATAACAATTGGGCTGATTTTTAAGAAATTAGGTAAATTCTTTATTTAAAAAAAAAAAAAAAATGGTGCTGAATCAACTCCTCCCGTTTTGAGTTTGCTGTGTTAACCCTCTTGAATAGTATTTTTTGTTGTCAACTGTTCTGTATCTGTATCTGTTGTGTCTCAGCTTATTATTATTATTTTTTTAAAAAATAATTTCAGCATTAATGATACTGCTTTGTCACATCTATCATTTCTGATTACATTACTGTTTAAAAACTTGTCCTATATTCATAGGGAATAAATACCGGGTTAATGCTAAAGATAATATGCATATTCAAAAATTATTATTATAAAATGTTTGATTGGATGTTACTTCTTAAGTTATATTCAAATATTATTGAATTAATCGATAATTGATTAAATTACTGAAATAAAAATAAAAATTCGAGGCTAATATTGCTGTGGCATAAGGAAGTGATACTCCTAATTTCTATATAGTTCTTGCAACATCTTGATTCCACATCTCATTTATCTTATGACCATCCTTTAGATATAAAATATAACCTAAACCAGAAAAGGCTTGAAAGATGGTATAAAATACGAAAGAGAGTATTAATTTTTTTATTTCTTACTTTATCTAAATTCTATTCTTCCATTCTCCCTGAAAATGGAAAAGAGCGTCTCTTTGTTTAAGTTAAAAAATTGGTCTCAGTTGGCCTTATTCTGACTTTTGAAACATTACATATTCTTGAGCTGTTAGATATAAACCTTTTTAGTGAACATCTAAGTGTTTCTAGTCTAAATATTTACTTTTTTTATGAAAATACTTTAAGCTGTCAGCAGGTTTCTTTATTTTAACCATAAATATTAGAAACATTTAGTCGGTCACTTATAAATTCTGGTCAATTCCTTTCGCACAAATCTTGGTAAAAAATTCAGTTTCATTATTACTTTAGATGATAAATAATCAAATGAATTACTGGAGGAAGTTAGTCGACTGTTCTACACATCATAGGTGAGGAATAGTCAGGACGCAGTCATTTTAAGATTTTTATTGTTGTTGACGACATTTCAACCCAAACATGTGGGTCATCATCAGGGCATGTTTCCAGTACTGAAAGTGTTCAGTATTTGACCACCTTCAGTATTGGTATGATAAATAATCAAAGAATCATTATTTTTAACATTTTTTAAAATCAAAAGTTTATTTATCCATTTATATTTATGTATCTTAATAAATTCCAGATCATGAAAAAAAAAAAAAAAAATCAAATCATTGGAATAATTTATTTTAGCCATTTTTTGCTTAAAACATAGGTATATTTAGCTGACAAGATATCACATGATTTTTTGTACTCATCTTGAGGTGAATCTTAACTTTTTTCCCAATAAACCTCAATTTAATTAATATGAACCTTATTAAACAGTGAAGTTTTCTAAAAGTGTGGTATAGAAGAAGGAGGATGATAAAAAAGAAATTATGACTAATTCATGATTTTTCTTAAAAATATAATTTAGCTTAGTTTAGCTGCTCAGAAGACTTCTTTAAATAGTTTTAACAATAACCAACTCTACTTTCGTTTAAAGCAAATTGTATCTCGTTTAGTGTGAAGCAATTGTTAATGACTTAATTTAAATTTTTTTGTTATCGATTTATTAATGAATGAAAATAATTTTATTATTCTGGGACTAGTGTCCCTTTAGGACAAGTTACAAATACAGATAGTATATTAATATTTTGGTGTGTCCATAAACTACAGTTTAGTATTTATAGGATGATTACAATAAAGTTATAGATAATAAAAAGATATAAGAACGTGTATAAATATAAAATAAACAGAGAAAGTAATTTAGTAAACAAGATATCAATGAATCACAAAATAATCAGAGTATCTGGGTGTATTTTGAAATTCTTACAGTTCAGGTTTTTAAGTGCATTTCGTGATCAATCAGATTGGGAAAATAGAATAGGTGTTTGAAGAGGAGAGATTTGAAAGAGGGTATTAATTTTGTGTGTCGAATATCTGAGGGTATAGAGTTCCAGAAGGAGCCAACTTGAATTAAAAAGACTTTATCAAATGCAGCAGTTCGGTGAGGAGGAGGAACAATCAACAAAAAACACGTCACTTAAATAAATGCAAAACTTTAATTTCCTACTTTTCTATGGAAAATAAGACCATTGTTTATATAAACTTTTTTGTAGCTGTTGAGGTCTGCTATCACCCCTTAAATATTTCTCTCTACTTCCAGGACACCCTGTATACTGATTACAGATAATATATTTTAAATTGAATATTTAATAGTTGACCGTTGCATTATAAAGGAAGGAGATGTTCCGGAGTGGCGGTCATAAATAGGCTGAATAGTGGCAAAACTATTTTATCAAAAGCCAACGTTTCGACCCGACTTGAGTTCTAAGTGAAACTCCTAGCTGAACACACCTCCCTGAAGAAGGCCTGCAAAGTCGGGTCGAAACGTTGGCTTTTAATAAAATAGTTTTGCCACTATTCGGCCTATTTATGACTGCCACCCTGGACCATCTCCTTCCTATATATTTTAAAGTTTGAACCAAGCCTTTGTTCTGGATTCAGCTTGCATCTATTTATCTAATACACATTATCTGTTTATCTAAGCGGTTGTGTTTGCACCTGGTCCTATGCTAATGTCTTTATGCCATGAAGCTGTAATTGTTAAAGACAAAAAGAATACTTATTTAATGATAATTCAATTACCACCATTATTCAATTCAATTACCACTTATTTTAACCACATATTTAAATGGTTGATTATCTAAAATACTCACTAAAAATGTTTTTGTTTTGTATGGTGAATAATTTAATGAATGATTTATTTGCAGGATGAAAGGAAGTGATGCTTCTTGGAAGGGAGATGTGGAACCTCCCCCTGGATATGAAGAATATTCAGATGATGAGGAAGAACGCAAAGCCAAAAAGGAAAGAAAAGAGGTAGATACTATTCTGTAATTGACATAAATCTTCTTTTTAATTGTTCTCTCTTCTACCTCTGAGCGGTGTGAGGAGTCTTCTTGTAGAACTGAACTCTACTCCCAATCCTGTGCCAACTGCCTCCTCCTCTGCCAATCAATATCTCTTCTGTTAAAGGCCTCTTTGAGACCATCCTCCCAAGTCTTCCTGGGCCTTTCCTGATGCCACCTTCCATCAATGTTACTCTGCAAAGCAATTCTGACCACTTGGTTCTCGGCCATTCGAGAGACAGACCAAACCACCTCAAATTATTTTCTTCTATTACTGACTCAACTGGTCTTACATTCAGTTTTTCTTTTATTGTGGAGTTTCTTATGCCATCTCTCTTTGTTTTTTGTTTTTCCTTTAACCCTCCAGGAATTGCATCTTCATGGCCTCAATCTGACTTCTGTTTTTGGTAGTTAGTGTCTATGATTTGCTGGAGTAGGTCATTATAGGGGGTAAAGTGTTTTTGTAAACAGTAGTTTTGGCCTTCTTGCTCACTTATCCTTTACTCAGAAATCCTTTCTTGATGGCTTTGAACCACCTTCCTGCAGACTTCTATCGTTCTTTAATTCTCTTTCAGTCCATTCTTACTCATTTATGTGAGCACCAAGGTACTTTAAATCCTTCTTTCCTTCCAATTCTCATTGTTTTTGTTTTGTCCAAGTTTATTGGTATGTTTATCTTATATAATTCTTTTTGAAGAATGCGAACGTTGAATTGAAGGTTTCCTCCATTACCCCCAAAAATCATCTGCTTAAGCGAACAGAAAAAAAAGAACAGGTTGAAGATTTGTGTGCTCCATTTGATAAGATCTCTTGTGTTGTTTTGATATTTTTATTACGATGTCCAACACTAACTTAAATAGCAAAGGACTTGGACTACACCCTTGCCTGATCCATTGTTAAGTTGTGAACTCCTTTTATAATTTACTGCTTGTTCTCGCAACGTTGCCTTGACATTTATAAAGACTTAGAAATGCCTTACGAAGATTAGTTTCTATTCCTTTTTCTTTTAGGGCTTTTGCTATGTCTTGTTTTTTAACCCAGTCAAATGCCTAGATCTACAAAACAAGCATCTATTTCTTTGTCTCTTTCTATTAATTTCTTAGAAATTTGTCTTAGTGCAAATATGAGATCCTGGGTACTTCTGACTGGCGTGAATCCACACTGTTCTTCATTTAGATAGGGTTCTATTATTATTCGCAGTCTTCTCCCTAATATTTTGCTTGGAACACTAAGAAGAGATACACCCTGATTGTTTTTACATTCTTTATTAGCCTCTTTCTTAAGTATTGGGACTAGAACTGAAACTTCCCAATCCTTCTTTGGGGTGATCCTTGTTTTTCATACGAGATCTAGTAGGTGCTGGAAAACTTCTACTCCCTTTTGGCTCATGTATTTGATCATTTAGGAGCTATGTCATCTACTATTGCTGCTCTTCCTATTTTCAGGAAGGTGATAGCATCCAATAATAATTGACAAAAATATAAAATAAATTTGATAGAATATTTCATTATCTTCTTTTTGTTATTTTGTAGTCCCGGATGAAGGCTTTAGCCCAGGAAGTTGTAGATCTCGATGAGCCTATCAGGAAAGTTCCATCTTTTGAAGAAAGAATGAATCGTCAAAATACGATGAGGAACCAGCTATTTAGCAATCATCTTACGGTAAGTTAAATCATACATTTACCTCCTCAGCTACCTAAGAATTCTGATAAATGTTCCTATTTTTTCTGAATATTTATTAATTCACTTATTTTAATGTTGCTCTGAGTCGTTTTTCTTTTTGTTATTCTAATATCGCCATCACTCTTTTTAAACTACCTCTGTCTCCTAACTGTTGAACCATTTACTTTAATACTTTAGTGGTTCAGGAATATAAAGGTAAGATTATCAGCTCTTTTAATTAGATGAAATTGGTCACAAACAAATTTTTTAAGTCCTCAAAGTTTAAGAAATGTGTTACTTAATATTTATATATATCTTAGTATCTACAAGTTTGGTTCATTTTAAAGTGAAGTGATTTTCAGAGATTCAGTCTTAGGTCTGTAAATCAGTTCAAGTACCTGAGAAGTATGGTTACATGTGACAACAAAGTAGAGTGAAAAATAAAAGCCAGGATAGCAGTAAGGAACAGATGCTATTTCTCACTGGAAATAGTTTTGAAGTTTATACCATCCATTAAAAGAATCTCTACTTCTGGGGGAGAAAGGTAGAGAACTACATGAGTTGAATTTGCTGATAAAAGGATTTTGGGAAGAAGAAGGATTGAGAAGATGCTGGAACTCTTTGGGAAACCTCATATTGTGTCATTGCTATAAAGAGTATGAATAAAATGGATAGGAGATGTGGAGAGAATGCCAAAGAGGATTTTCTATGGGAAACCATATGGCAAGAGAAGTAGAGGACGCAGATCGCTGGAGGATGATCTGAGGGGGCTGGCTGGATGTTTGAAGATAGAGGGAGAAAGCACAAGATTGTGGAGATTGGTTGGTTCTAGTGGAATAGGCTATATTTGTATATGACACAAATAATAGAGAAAGAACGTACGTTGGGTTCAGAATAAATCTGTAACTGATAGCTTCCAAATGTTCAGAAACCGGGAACGACCGAACTAAATGAGTTCGAGGGGACTAATGAATGCACTGACCAAGCCATAAGGCGAATGATGGAAGCTGGGCTTGCCCCTACCTCTTTAAGTAGCGACAGCCAAGGCGGGAAGGCAGGTATCCCGTCCGCAGTCAAAGTTTTAAAACATGTTTTGTGAGCTCACTAATGACTAAAAATTGAATTAAAATAATTCTTGAATAATTTACTTATAGTTACTGATTTGTATCACACAGTGCAAGTATATATGATTTTATAACGAAAATATATCTACATTATTACTGATAGAAAATATGAATCCTTGCAATAATTATTGTATATTTTTCTTTGACTTTAACATTTTGTATTATAATAATGCAGTGTTAAATGATAGAAAGTTATTTTATACTGTTTAGTGAATTACTTTCATTTATATCATATATTTAAAAAAAAAATAGAATAAATAGTATAGCTGGGGAACCTTTTTATCATTATAGACCACAGTAAGGTTAGGCAGTGCTGCTGATGGAGACAGCAATAAGTCGGTATATTTTACCGTTGCTATTTTTATTTAACACTAAATACACAAACTCTCATACATATATTCAACTTAATTTTATTAATTGTCAAACTTTTATTACTTAAGTAATCAAATATTAATGAATTGCAGCAATAGATTAATAAATATTGTATAAAATGTTTGGAGGCCACATGCGCCCTCGGTTCCACACCTATGTAAAAATATGTCAATAATAATGTCTGGTGAACTAATTACGTATGATATCAGAGGTACCCATCCCTCCCAAGGTTGATGGCGCATGAACCCCTTCCCAAGATATTTGATTGCTAAAAACAGTGTAAGCGAAAGTAGAATTTAAAAAAACCATAGATCATATATAATTAAACTTGCTGTGGTCTGTTCCATATTTTACTCTTGTCTTCTGGTTTGAATTTATCATTCTGAAAATTCATAACCCTATCGAAATGTGTCTTCAAAAATTTTAATGGTGCAACTTGCGCCATGAAACTATCTGGGCACCTCTGTATGATATATTATTATATTTCGATAGATGTTATTGATGGTGGGTAGTTTAACCCGGAACTTCAAACATTAAAACTTAAAATAAATTATGAAGGTTATTATAATTTATTTTCCTATACTATTTTATGGTCTATAACAAGATAAAACTTAAGCAATATATTTTTTCTTTTCTTAATATTGTTATATTTTTTTATTTATTACTATTTACTAATTATTACTATTATTATTAGTATCTTGATTTAAATAATTGTAAAATGCTATAATTATCAGATTATTAATACATGTAAAATCGTTGCTAATATGGTTTGTAAATGTTTATTGAATACATCACTTTATCTTTGAGTTTCTATGGAAGAGGAAACATAAAATAATAAGAGCTGTATTAAAACTTTTTATTGTTATTTTTGAATTAGTAACTATAATCTAGTAGATAAATAAATTATAATATGTCTTACTTTAATTCCTTATTAGTCAGTCTTCTATTAATAAAAATAATTAAAATTTCAGACTCCACCTAAGCGCCCTGATTGGTTTAGAAATGCTGCACCAGGAGCTGGAAGACCAATGCCTGATGGAGAAGGTTCAAGTAAGGGAAACGTTGTAAGGGCATCTAATTTTACTGTACCTCCGTTCCATAGGCAGGCACCTCCGACACCACCTTCTTTTCCCTTCTCTTCTAGCAGTAGCTTTCGAACATCTCCACCCGGTGGTCGTTCATTTTCCATCAGAAATAATCAGATGCAATCAAAATTCTTCTCCAGCCCAAGTACAAGTAACATCTTTCCTTCTCAGAATCAAATGAATGGAAATCCGTTTTCACCTAGCAGGCCTCAAGCTTCCTTTTCCTCAAATGGCCAGGCTTTTCCCACAAACACTCAGGGATTTCAACCAACTAATCCAGGATTTCAGGCTAACGGTCAGAAGTTTCCTAGTCAAAATTTCTCTCCTCAGAACTCTCAACCTTTTCAGAGAAATGCTCCACCATTTCGGCCTATGGTTGGTGGATTTTCATCGAGCAACCAGTCATGGCCATCAAACAATCACTCGTTTGGAGGCCAACCGTCATTTCCTCCTAATACTCATTCCTTTCCAAGCCCTTCGTTCAGTAATACTAACTCTCCAGGATTTTCACAAAATCGTCCCTGCAAGCACAGGCATTTTGATAATCAAGCGTTGCAACCAAAAGGCCAACAGTTTCCATTGAACAATACTTGTGGAACTGGGAACATCCATCAGAATGGATATATGCCCGACAACCCTCCATTTCCTCCTCAATCTGACAAGCCATTCTCTCAGATGTTTCCACCAAACTGCTCCCAATATCCTCCTCAGCAAGGCCAGAACTTCCAGCCTCCCCAGCGCCCTGGTATTCCCCCGTTCAATCTTCCCAACAGTCGCTCTTTTGCTGGTAGCAGTCCTTCATTTCAATCTCAGAATCGTTTTTCATCCCCAAATCAAGCTCCTCAGTTTTTACAAAATAATCAATTCTTCCCTACAAACATGCCTAGCTTCCAACAGCCTAATAATTCTTTTACATATAACTAGTTTATAGATTGAAAATATTATTTTTTTATTTATTCATGAGATTTACAACTTCATAAATTTAAAAATACATCCAGTAAATGTGCACATGGTAATAATACAATCCCATGAAAGTGCTTGTTAAGAAACTACCCATTGGTAGCACTCTTAGAAAATATTTAAGATGATATTTCAATTTTGTACTCTGTTCATCTTATAATATTAGTTTTATATTGAATGTTTTTTTAATCAGAAGTTTATGGAATTTCATTTAAATTTAAATAAAATAAATTGTCTGAGTGATGATGTTCTAACTAAAATATGCTTAGTTTACTTGTAATCACTCAAAAGTTTTCTATTTTTTGATGAAATGAATAAGTTATTATTATTTTATCTTGGCTTATTTAGAACTAACTTCTTGCTGTGTCCATCAGTTTAATTTACATGATTTTATATTTTTTTGCTGTCTTTATTAAAATTAATTCTACTCATCTTGCCAATCGTACTGCATTTTATTATTCTGATAGATAGAAAGATTGAAACAATTTTATATTTTTATAAAGTGAGAATTTCTTTTTTGCACCGATGACTTCTATTGAGATAACTCGATTTTCAGCACTCAATATTATATCATAAATAAATCAGCAATATAATTTGCTTATTTAAAGAATTTATTTCTTCCATTTTTTTCAATGTTGAAATAGTTCTGAAATCGTAGACCAATTTTCAGTGTTAATTCATATAAATCTTGATCTGATGATCAATTGCATTAAGATAGTATTTTGGTTGTCTCTTTTTGTATTATATATTATTTGTTTCCAATAATATAAATATATATAAAATTTAATCAGGAATAAGTTTTCTGTGATATGGTTCATGGTACATATTTTGAATTTCAAATAGCTTTAATTGTAATTGCAATCCTTACGAAGGAAGCATTTTTAAAAAATGACACCAGGATAGTCAAACTTTTTGTACTTTATTATGTTTTGTCTTATTGGGACTATTTAGGAATAGCTAGCTAGTTTATCCACCAATACGATTTTCTGAAAACATTTTTTTGCTTTTTTTTTTTTTTTTTTTTTATGTTATATTAAAAAGAAACTGTGATTTATACTTTTCTTATATATGTTTTTTTGTATAATGTTCCTTAGTGTAGTTTAAGAAAAATAAATTGTTACCATTTTAAAATTTTAATTGATTTTAAAATTAATAGCATCTGTTTCTATTTTGTACTGTTAGTGTATATAATATATGTGTATTTTGATGTTACATCCCATAGGGATTATTGTCTAAGGTAATTTATAATTGTAAATTATAAATTTTAAGTTTGGAACATGAGAATCTTTTAGAAGTATAGAAAAGTATATAATTAATGGATATGTTAATAAATATTTCGCTAATGTTTTAATGAATGTATAAGGAATATTTACTCATGTTGATATTTATCTAATTCTTAATGAAATGTTAGAGAAACTTATAAACTGTGTTGAAAGAATTGTTTTCAATAAAAAATATATTGTGTTTATTATTGGTTGCCCTGGTTTTAATGTTTATTCAACCACTTTATCTCCAAACTACTTATAATTTGAAAACTCATAATTTTAATTCTTAAACTTAATTACAAAATAGATCTTATTAGCTATTTACATTATTTATGTATTAATTATATTAAATACTAGATTTAATAAATTCACACAGAAACAAAAAAAACAACATACAGACAAGAAGATAAAGAAAAGTTAGTTTAAATACTTTTTATCTTAATAAATTACTAATTTCCTAATGAATTTAAATGATAACATACCACAACTTAAAATATGTAATCACATTGTTTTTATTTGTTCTTGTATGTTAAACAATGTGTTATCAGACATTGTTCAATTATACATTTTCAAATGATTTGCCTTTTTGATTTTTCTTTTTAAGATGGTAATCGTTGTCCTCAAAACAGTATGTTCATGGGACAAGAAACAATTCATTTGAATTATTCCCAATTAATGATGAAGATATCCTTCAGAATCATCCCCAGACCAAGTGTGCATACAAATCTAACCAGTTTGTGACTAATTGCTACTCTGTGAAAAAATTATTTTCCACAAATGTTCAAAGTCTCGTGAGGGTTAGCTAATAAGTTACTATTCACTATACGATTCCAGCTATACCTTGGCCAGTTAATAAAGGTTATCCCCACTCCCAACTCTTCCACAGCTCTGGCCTCGGTAAGTGGGCAAGCTATACTCTATTGAAGAATAAGCATGATAACTAAGGATTAAGTATTAATTAATAATTTCAAAACTTAGTTGTATGATACAAATACAATAGGAGGGCTAAATATTAATAATTAAAGAAAATTAAATAGCATCTTTTATGTCGTAAAAAAATATTTAGATATTTAGATAAGTTGGAGATAAAAACAATGTTTAGAAATTCAAGTAATTTAAAAAACTTCCACAACAATACAAGATATACCTGTGGAGTGAGCACGTTTAGTGCGGTTGATAAAAAAAATAAAAAAGTAGCCATTTTATAGTAGTATGAGAAATGATACTGAAGTTTGGTTAAAGAACTTGAAAGAGAATATTTAGTATGCACGTTGGCTAACAATAAATATCCTTTTGTTATTGAAATACCAATAAACTAATGAATTAGTGCACGCAATTGAAAGAATATAAAACAGATCAAAACTTAAACAAAAGAAAAAAGTCATGATGGCATATATGATAAAGTAGCAATCTAAATTTTCACAGAGGGAGAATTGATTCTCTTAGTTGCAACATGAGCTCTGCCCAGATTTTCTTTATTTATTCTTTAATTTGCCTAGAAACTTTCAATCTCCTTCTAATGTGGATGTTGATACAATTAAGCCTTTCAGTTGAAAGAATGACTAACTCCAATATCAACATTTTTGAGTAAAATCATTTTAGTGATATTTCTAATTGGAAAATTTATAATACCTGTTCAGATAGTGAGCAAGCTGATTCCAGAGTAGGTAATTGCAGTGTTGAAATATAGAACTTTGAATAAAGGTATAATGTTCCCACTAAAAATATTCAAATTAATAATTAAAAATGTTAAAATTGGAGTTCTATCAACTGAAAGGCTCAATTAGTAATGCATTTTTCGAATAGATATTACTTCACCTGGTCGCATTTTATAAATCAATAGGCAACTCATTTGAAAATGCAAATAAATATACTTAATCATTACGATACTATACACTTGAGTAGCACCCATTTTTCTCACTCTTTAAACTTTACCTTTTTTTTTTTTTTTTTTTTTTTTTAACTTTTCAGCTGTAGCTATTAACAATTTTAAAAATGTAACAGCTCTTTGTAGTAATGAGTAAAGTAGTAAAGTTTAAAGCTAAAATTAGATCCAAGATCAGTAGGGGCTCTTTTGACAAAATAGATTTCCTTCTACTATAGTTTCTATAATAGGTAACTCAATGGTAATTTTAGGAATGAGCTTATTTCAATTGTTATACTATTGACTAGATATGCATGATTCTTACTAAGTTTAAAAATTATAATTATTAAAAGATACACATTGATAAAATGCATATTATAAGATTTTTATTTTGAATAAGCTTGGGCATAGGAAGGAGAAATTGATGTTATATCAGTCTTTTATCAATTTTTGTTAAAAATGTTTTACTATCTTATTTAAAAAATGTTAAAGGCTCCTACAAATGGAACAGGAATCAGTCGAGATGGTCTACGATCTCTTTGTATAGATTGCTGCAGTAGCTTTACGTTCTGTGTGATAGTAATACAATTAGTCACTAGATTGTAGATCATTGTAGAAAGCCGTGTTGTATTTATATGAGTCTTTAGCCAATATAATTTGGAAAATAGATCAATTCTGGCAAGAAAAGGCTTCTTAAATTGATAACACTTAATAAAGGGTCACATTCATATTAAACAAAGTTTATATTTCTAGGAGTAAAACTCATTTTTATTGAAATTTAATTAAATTAGTGAGAATTGAAAAAAAAATTATTTCTTTATTTTTTTTTTCAATACAGAAATTATTAAAAGGAATAGCTGTTAAATGATTTATTATTAAATTATTCTAATTAAATCACTTTAATTCTCAGATAATTTAAATTTGTATTAACATCCATCTTTTTTTACTTTGATTTATTTCATTTCTTGGATTTTTTAAACCAAAGTTTATAGTTAAACTCCATCATAATGCGTATTCATGAGACCACATTTTTTCTTTTTTTTTTTTATAAATCCTCAAAAAACAATTCACTGTTTTAATATTTATTAACTGTAATGATTCTCCTATTGAAATTTCCTCCAAACCTAATGTCTATCATACACACATAGTGAATTTTTATTTAACGTACACATTTTCTTTCATTAATTTGTAAATTTTTTGTAAAATGAATTTGTGAATTAAAATGTATTAAATTTTATGAGTGCTAATGCACACATTGATGAAATTATTTATTATTTATTGGATAGCCCATGCAGCGATGTAGCCTAGTCAACAGTATAACATACTTCGCTCAAGTTCTATGCCTTATGTTGCCATTTGGATTACAACGGCAGACGCAACAAGATGGAAATAAAAACCAGTCCATGAAAATTCCTTTACAGTCATTATCTGGATCGTATGCAAGTAGTCTATGCCATTTATACTTCTGTTCACACCCACAGTCACCAGCACATCTGTTTGTTTGTACTTTTCTGAAATAAATTATTTAAATTTAATAATATAGAAAGAAACAGAATGGGTCTTATTTCTAAAGATAAATTTCTTCTCTATTTCTAAACGGGTAAATTTCTCAACCAGTTTCTTGGGTGGACCTACTTTGGTAAATAAACTTAACTATGTAAAAGAGTTTTATATAGGAGCACTCTTTGAACTCAGTAAACATACTATTCTTCAAAATATATATTTTATCCTGCAATTTTTCTATTGTATTGGAGTCAGTACGATTCTGTGCTTTGTTTTATTGTTCTTATAGTAAAAATATGAGGGTGGATCCATGACCAGCTAAATAACTATCTATCGGGATGCTACAACTCCGTGGCCTCCTCCACCAGCTTCTTCCAGTCATCTCTGTTAATTCAGTTCCTGATTCCCAGGACATCCCTTGATTCTAAGACCAAGTTTCAAAATCAATTAAAGTGATTAAAGTGAAGGACAGACTATCTCTGTACGACATTACATTGGTTATGGAAACTTTTTTTGTTAGCCTTGAGATTAAGTATCACTTTATAGCGGCAACTGATTCCCGCCTCTTGCTACAGAGGACAACTAGTTAGCCTACCCGCTATCTGGCAGCGCCATACAGCTTAAAAATACTGTCATTTTAACGGTTCTTGATAGCCGTTTTAATCTTGGCGGAATAAATAACGCAGGCGAATCTCAAATTGTTAGGTCATTAACCTTTTATCCTCTTTTCTTATTCCATGCAAGATCCGTCCGCTTTTATTCCTATATTCTAAGTCAGGAGATTGATCCCTCTGGTAGTGGTTACCATCCTTGAAGAGTGTTAAGCTTGACTTCTTACATCGCAGACCGAGAGTGATTGGATGCTGATCCGCCTGTCACTTAAGGTCATCCTTCTATTCATCTTCCATCACCCACTCAGTCATCTTACCCTCTGTAAGGAACACGCATTGTCGAGACCTTCTGGGAACTGCATACATTCTGCACAACTTATACCTTGACAACTTCTTTAACAAATTTCAACTATTTACAGGATAACCCATATATGGAGCTCAATTAATGGAAATGGTGATTTATTCTTAATTTTTTTCTTTTTATAATGTCATTTTTTTCTTTCTACTACATTTGACTATTTATAGAAATTTATTTTATAATATAGTAACTATTAATGTATATGTTTCTACAATAAAATACTGACTAAATATGTAATAATGAAAGACTTACGAGCAAACTTCCTGGTGAATGGCTTGTTCGAAATGCTGCGTGTTAACTATGGCACGGATCTTGCCGGCACTGTTGGCTGCCCAATATGGAGTAACTATTTCAATTTTTGATTGACACGCATCAACTCTAAAAAAATTATTTCAGATTGTAATGAATATGAATAATTATGACACCAGTTCTGGAAATGTAATATAATATATAATATATAAATGTATAAATATAATATATAAATGTAATATCTAAGTATAAATTTTACTGAATTTGAGTTGGCTGCATTGTCCACAGATCTTTTTATATAGGAAATTACATTACATGAGTAGTGTAAAAGTTGATTATTTATGTTGATATTTTTGTAGACTTTTATCTATGAAAATTTTAGTATAAAATAGTTTTTTCATGGTTTTTAAATTGTAAAAATGTCACATGTGTTTTTTCTGAAAACATATTCAATTGAACCGATTCAATTATGCTTTTGTATAAAAATATATAAAACAACATAGAACATAACAGTAATTATGGATAATAAATATTCAGGATGCAGTCAAACATGTGGGTCATCATTAGGGCGTGGTTCGAGCACTGAAGATATTAAAGTACTTGAATATTTTCAGTGTTCGAACCACTCACTGATGATGACCCACATGTTTGGATTTTACACCCTATATTCTTAATTCGATGTTTCAGCTTCAGGAGCCATTTTCAAGATCCTGCACAACTAATTTTAATTCAGTTTTTACAGTTCAAAATACATCCTTTTCAGATACATATTATTTAACAACTATCAGTAACAACTAAGACCTTTGGCATAAAATATATATAAAGAAATTTTTTATTATTCATATTTTATGATGTTTTTTCACTTGGTAGGTTTGAATAATGTATGTTAATTTCTTTAGATTTCAATATATATATGCACTGTCACTTTCATAAATACAATTTAGATAATATTCCATAATGAATTCAAAACTAAAAATTGTGGTTTTGAAGCTTATCTCAAATTTGTTCCTACCAAAATGAACAAAAGAATTCTTTGGTTTAAGTTTCTCCATAGTATCTCAGCTGTTCTTTCTTTCAGGAATTGAGGAATATGCACATTTTTTTGTGTATGCTATATTTAAGTATTATTTATATATCAGTATTTATGTTATCAGATTTTAATAACTGATAAATTATTTTCTTAAAACTTATAATTATCTTACAATAATTGCATAATTGTCTCCAATTAAAGTGATCTAAGCCAAATAAATAATTGTACTGTAGGCATGTTCAATGCGTCCTTGTTACTTGTTTGTCAATATTTAAATTATAAATATTTTTATGCATAATAGTTTTATTTATATTGATTTACCTGCCAGTGTCTGATGTCTGGTTTCCTGGCCTGGGCACTTGTCTTCTTCCTCTCTCTGTTCTTGCATCCTCTTCATAGACTTCTTGCCCAGGAGGCCCATAATCCCCTCCCGTCTCAAATTCCCCATACATCCTCTTCATGAGTGCTTTATTTTCATCTATGAACAGTTCTATCCTTTCCCTTAAAAAAAATATAATAAATAAACAAATTATTAATATAATTTTATTTTATTTCAGTGTCATATAATATTTCAGTTTATATTTCATTAAGCCATGCGGCCACATCATCACTCATCCCAGAACAACAGCTGGTGAATGAGTGCTATTAGAAGAGAGTTATGCAAAGGTATTCATCGTCCGCCGGCTGATTCACATCGGCCATCTCTCCTTAGGTCTTCGTTTCTTGTTCACAAAACAGTACATCATTATACACTGACATTTTCAATAATTGTAAAAAAATGACTGAAAGGTATTTTCCACAACTGTAATATTTGATAAAAACAAATTATAATATAATACAGTTATTCATAGTAAAAGACAGAGGTGTCCAGAAGGTGCTCACTCATCATTTGGTTGTACCACTAGAATATGGTACAAAATTTTATATTTCGTAATATATGAGAGTTTTTAATTATAAAATGACTCTACGAATAATTATGCAAGAACAATTAACAAAAAATATTGTAAATATCTGTAATATGGAAAATTTGTTTTCAGACTTGAAAATGGCTCATGGGCCAAAATGTCGTCATTCCAAAATAAAGATTGGAAATAAAAATAATTGATGTACTATTGGCCTAAAGCCCCCCAAAATGGTGAAATATATCCATGTCTTACGAAAAAAAATTATCTCTAAAAAGTATTATTGTTTGCTAATTACATTTAATAGTACTTCAAGAATCACATAAAAACCATTTCTTGTTGGTGGTTTGTTTCTTTTTCTTTCAAAGTAATTATCGTCAAATATATATATAATATAAATATATATATATATAAATAAATAAATATGTATATATATATATATATATATATATATATATATATATATATATATATATATATATATATATATATATATATATATATAGAGAGAGAGAGAGAGAGAGAAATAACGCTTTAGGCCTGAAGCCTTCCCCCCCCCCCAAAAAAAAAAAAATTAATTCCTGGATCCGCTAGTGATATCTTGTGAAGTACGCAAATAATCAACTTTCTTTACCTACTTTACCGGAACTACTACATTTTCGACATAATACAAGGCAAAGGGTTCGAATCCACAGAACCTCACGTTAATTGTGGTATTGCCATGAAATACATGTCTCATGACGTCGACTTAGGTTCCTATTATCAAGAGCACTAATGGAACCAGGATCCAACTTTGGGAGGAGGGGCTTCAGCCCGAAAACTTTTTATATATATAACGATAATTACTTTGGAAAACAAAAGAAACTAACTACCTGTATGAAATGGTGTTTAAGTGAATCTTGAAGTTCTATTAAATGTAATTACACGAACATTAATAATTTTTTTCATAAGAAATGGTTATATTTTACTATTTTTTGGGGAGAGCTCCGCCCCCCCTGTAGATCCGATTGTGATCGAGGGAGGAGAGGTATATATTGTTTATAAAGGTGTTTTTTCTTCGGTAAGCCATATCTTTGTTAATTCTTCATCAAAGCACAAGAATGAGCCATAATTTTGAAAGTTTCCTTCTCCGTTAGACGAGAAAAGTAGTCACATACTTACGAAATTTCAGAGGGGAAAGTTAGAATACACCTATTCATTATTTAAAATATTATAAAATTCTCTACAAAAAGATAAAAAAATCATCAAAATCAGAGTACTATTAACAAAGATACAGCTAATTGAAAAACACGTTAGTTCAAAACATTTTTAAATTAATTAAATTAAATTTACTTTTGATTTTTCAATTATAATTAATGAGAAAATAAGAATTGATTTCTCGATATTATGATACGTAGCACTAGCGGATCCAGCCCGAAAGTTTTTTTTTTTTTCATTTATATAAAACTATAATTAATTTGAAAAACAAATGAAGAAATGAACTACATATATGAAACAGTGTTTACGTGATTCTTGAAGTCCTATTAAATGTAATTACACGAACAAAAATACTTTCAAAGATAGTTTTTAATCTTTTTTCTTTAAAACATGTTTATATTTTACCATTTTGGGGGGGACTTCACCCCGAAAGCCTCCCTCCTCCCCCGTAGATCCGCCTGTGATACGTAGCATTATTTCCTTTTCTTATTAACTAGCCATTTGATCACCGATCAATATATTGTGAGAATTACTCGCACGAGCCAATTAGAATTAATAAATCCAAGAGCAGTTTTTATGAATAAAGAGTTGTTATCATTGAAAATAAAAATTTTTGTGACAACGAGGATAGGAATTAACAACACGCTTCACAGTTCACAGATGTCAACAGAGATTAGAGGTAGGCGTGAGTGGGAACAGCTTAGGTGGCGCTAGTGGGCGGATTCCGCTCTGCTTACTAGATACCGAGTGATGAGTACATACAGCGGTGCCCAGAACGGGGTTTAATGGTGCAAATTGAGGGGGGCAAATTTCGATAGGAATATGAATTTTCGGGCAAAGGGACAAAGGAGAAAACATGGAACAGACCGCAGCCAGTCTAATTGAATACGATCTACGACTTTTCTAATTCTACCATAGCTTGCTCTGTTTTTAAGAAAGGTGAGCAATAAAATATCATGGAAGGAGGGGGTAGAGTAGGGCCTTGTGCCATGGACCTTAGGAGGAGAAGGGGAGGAGGTGGATGGGCACTCCTCCGACAAATTTTCGAGAAAAAAAATTTCAAATGAAAAGACAAATGGTAGGATGGAAAATACAGCAGGATGTGAAATTGTATATAATCTACGAATATTTAAATAATACTTTTGTTTGCACTGTTTTTAAGAAGAGGATAGCAATAAAATATTTTGAGAGGGGTGGGGGAAGGTTTTTATGCACCATCGACCTTGAGAGGAATGGGCACCTCTGAGTATAAATTTATATATAGAAAGCGGATTATGTTTATTTACTATTTCACGAACTAGCTCAGTTATGCTTATAAGCTTCTTTTTTTTTTATCTGTAATTCCTTACCTTTTTAGGCTATACGAGGTTTTTCAGGAATGGGGAGAGGGTGAAGGCGGGGAATATTCATGTATATCCTTTCTTTTACACGATTCTTATATCGGCGAGGAAATAGATACCTTGGCTCCGGCATTGGGGGAACAAGGCAGAGTCTGACTCCCCTCCCTCCAAAATGTAATAAGCGAGTAATACTCCTGTAAGTCGAATTTTTTTTTTTTTTTTTTTTGTTTATTGATAGTTTGGGTGGGTGGCGTTTGGGAAACGTATAAATAGTCCGAGAGCCCGTGCAAAAAAATTGACATCTAAAGAAAATATTAAAAACACACTTTTTTTATTTATGAAAATTCTCAGAAATTGGCGTTTTCTCATTGAGTTAAATGATTTAATGAGGTACTAAAAACTCATGGACACCCATTTCTTTCCAGTGGAGTCTTATGATAATTTAATCATAAAAGGGAGAAAAACGGTGACCTACAAAAATATTATGGCGTTTGGTCTCTTCAACCTCTTTATTTTGACATGTTGGGGTACCCGAAAGGCATGAGTCTATATTTTGTAATTCATTAATGTCTCTTTAAATAAATTTATTATATTTTTCATTATGCAGATTCGACCTTTGTTCTTTTTATTGTGATTCATTTCCCTATTGGCCAGAAATAAATGAATCAAAATTAGTCTTTGATTGCAAATTTATTTAAACGTTTCGAGGAAAACTTCGTCCTCCTCTTCAGAAATCTAAAATTTTATAATAAATAAATATTTGTTGGTTCAGTCATGAATCCAATCATTAATGATAAAAATACATAATGCTTAAAACCAATATCCCATAAATAAATATAATAATTCATTTATACATAGTCCTGTCATAAATATTGTTACAAGGAAATAAGTATATATTTCAACAGAAAAATTAATTTTTTCAAAAAATTTATTAATAAATAAAATGTATATCTATAGAGAATAAAAAAAAAAAATTACTCAAAATGTCTCCCTTTTGCCTTGACACTGGTATTTAATCTCCGCAGCCATTTATATCAATAGAAGCATGCAGCACTTCTTAAGGAAAGCACTCAAATGCTCGGACCAGAGATTGTTTGAGGTTTTCCAAGTTAGGGTGTGCTCTGTGGTATGCCATCCTCTCCAGTTCGGACCAAAGCCGATAATCTAGTGGGTTGAGTTCAGGACTTCCGTAGGGCTAATCTGAGGCAGAGATGAACTCTGGAATGTTCTTTTGCAGCCACTGCTGAGTTAACCTGGCCTTGTGAACTGGAGCGGAATCCTGCTGGAAAACCCAATGACTTCCCGCAAACAAAGCATCATTTAGAGGCTTGACAATAGGTTCCAAATTATCGTCCTGGTAGTTTTTTTAGTGGCTGTTTTAACTCCTTTTTCATAAAAAATGGAGCTTTGTAGAGCCATCAAAGCAAACTCCCCACCAAACCATCGCTAAGAAAGGGCTATGACCTCTTTCCACTCTTCCAATGACTTCCTGGGCTTCTTTAGAGCTGTGTACGTACACACGATTAATTTGTCGATTAAATTTTTCTTCAATCGTAAAAATTTCCTCATCGCTAAATAAAATTGTTCGATGAAGACCATTGCTGAAACGGCCAAGAAGCACTTTGTATCTATCCACTGTAATTTTTTTTAGGAAAGTGGTTAGCCTTTGTCCTGTCATTCTTCGAAATGCACCCACCCTAAGGTCACATTTTATTATGTAGGACATTGATCTGGCAGAGATTCCCATTTCCCGAGACATGATTTGTTATTTTCGAATGGGATTTCTTCTGATTCGAGCAGCCACTGGTCTCACTGCATTTGCCGTTCTCACTATATCTATTTATAGTGCGGTACACGAACATACGTCGATACCCAAAGGTTTTAAAGCGTTGAAAATCTCTGACCTGATTTTGTGTATCACCCACTCGATGTTAAATGAGCGAAAGAAAAATACAAACTAATTGGGATTATTATCCTGACATATAATGAAAATAATCTGATAGAGTTAAGGATTATCTAAATAATACCCAGGGATGTAAACAAAGTTCAACTTATATAACAGTATTTATGGCAGAAATACAACGCTGTTAAAAACAATATAAAACTTACATATTATTCACCCAAGAAATTGGGTGTAACAAAAATCAATACAATAAGATTGGTGGATAGTATTTAAATAAATGAATTAAAGTAACAAATTACGGTTGTAGGTAGGGAGAATTAAGATAACTTAAAGCACTTAAATAAATGAACTTAGAGCTGTGTGGTTTCTGTTTTATTTAATTCAATTTTTATGATGATTTTTTTTTTTTAATTTTTCATTGATTCATCTAAATAGATTTTTTTACAATGATTTACAAATTTTAAAATTTACAATGACATTGCAGTTGATATATATTACTTTTGGAGTCCATAGTTTCAATTTTATCTTTTATTTTATTTAATTGGTTTGATATGATATTTTTATATTTCCATGCAATTTTGTATTTATATCAAATAAATTTTCAATCAAAGACTAATTTTGATTAATTTATTTCTGACCATAGGGAAATGAATTATTGGTAGGGTATCTTTGTGAAGTGGCCACATTCGATTTTTGTATCAACAGAAATCCAATGTGAAATCCAAAGAAGGGGTGAGGGCGGAGGATTAATGCTAGAATTACAAGACCCCCGGCACAGGGACACGAACTTAACTGCTGAATTGGTTGTTATCAGGTTGTTGCGCAACGCTCGGTGCTGTGCACAAGCATTAGTCCGCTCGGCCACCCCGCCCCTCAGAAATAAATATTAACAATATTTGCAATACTCACAAAGGGTATGTATTGCCAGCAGTGGGGCAGAACAGCTGGTGGTGTTTCTTTATACATGGCGTCCCCCTGATGATATCCCCCCTGATCTCCAGGCCCAGGGCTAGCGACAGGGCTGTCCATAGAACCTGCAATGCCAAATATCAAACATTACAAAAAACTGTAAATAATAGATAAATCTAAAATGATAAGAATACTAGGTTATAATAATAAATATAATTGAAAAGCTTGTTTTTTTCTAATGTATATATAAGTTAATTAACGTTAAAGAAAAGTGGTGGGGACGGAGCTACGTCACGAGAACGGAGACATGCTACGTCAAGACCTGTCAGTGTCTAGCTCAGAGTGTTAGATTTTACTTCTTAGCTTGGAATAATGTTTTTAGTTTCAAAACTTCCATCCAAAAATAATGTTTCCTTTTTTTATTTGTTTTTTATCACCCTGTCATCACTGAATAAAAATATTTGGTTTAACTGTACTTTATAAATACATGTTAATAAATTAGAGCTGATATAAACTTTAACGCTTCTGTTTTTTGTACTCCCTCAAGACTTGTTTATTTGGAGTAGAAAAGGCTTGATATGTAAGAATATAGAACTAAGAGTATAGAACTATTACTGAGGGAATAGAGCCCATACCTGGATGTATTTTTTATTTATTAAAAATATCAAAAAAAATTAATCTATATTATACGTAGTGTCCATGAGATTAAACAGTTATTCTCCTCCATTTACCTTTTCAATAGATTTTTTTTCTTTTAGAGAGCTCATTTCACAGCTGAAGTAAAATTTATAAAAAAATATATTTTTTTTCATCAGTAGCCATGTGCCTTTCTTCGTGGCGTTTTTAATGCGGCCCGCGGAACTTACTCGAGGTCTCAATGTGGCCTGTGTGCCAAAAAGTTTGGAGACCACTCGTTCGTACGACCTTCAACTTAGTTTTTCCGATCAGCTGATGTATCTATGGAGATGATAGTTATAAAACATTCTCTTCTTTTTGTTAAACCCCCAATTTTATAAAATATATCGACCTCCACTATCACTGCCTAACCTTAATGCGGTCTCTAATAATAAAAGTCTGGTGCGTTGCGAGCACCACACAAGTTTCCCTTACCACCCTCTTCTTTGCAGAAATAAATATTTCCAGACAAAGGAGAAGTGAAAGTAAAACTTATAGACGTTATATTTATTTATATTTCATTGTGGGTATTTTTATTTGCATCCATATATAAGAGTATAGAACTATTACTGAGAAAATACAGCCCATATCTGGATGTATTTTCTATTTATTAAAAAAAATCAATGACACAACCATCCACATATAAGTATCCATATAGGCAAATTTAGTTCGTATTTTAAGGTCATGTTCCGTATGGAAGCCTGTTGTAATCTTTCGGGCGAGTTCGGGTGAGCTCGTATTCCTTTGGTTCCCCAATTACAACTATTCTCCGTTACGATCTCTTATTTATCCTTTGGTTAGTTATCAAATTCTTTCATATTTTATATTTAGATATATTTTATATTACAGATTAATGTGAAATGATCAATTATTTAAAAAAAAATCAAAGGTACTTTAGTGGAAGCTAATATTGAAAATTAGGTATTTAAGTCCTGTTATAGAACATCAATCAGAATAAAAACTACATTTTATTTAAAACTGCTTAATTCTACTCTGATATAATGAATTTAATCAAAACTGTTAGAGCCGTTTTCGAGAAAATCGTAAAAGTAGCCGATTTTGACGAAAAAGTTTCTGTAACATCCCTAGTATATAAAAACCTTAAACATGCAATTTCACTTTCGTACGAGTTTTTGTTTGAGAGCTGACTGTCAACACAAACACATAAACACCATTTTGCGGGACTTAGTTATTTGGACTCAGGGGACCTAAAAACGTGTATTTCAGTTGAAAACTATGATTGAAAATTTTCACGATCGCAATACTTTCCTTTACTATATATTTCATATATATGTATTCATATATATATATGTATATATATTCTCCCGCCGGACCATTTCCACCTTAAAACGCCTAAACCACTTCCGTCACTTATTTCCCCTTGAAACCCGTAGACTCCTGGTCACTTCCTTAATTTTTTCCCAATTTGACTATTGCTGTACGGTATATGGGGGCGTCTCTGGGGATCTCAAGGCGAAACTAAAACGCTAGATAAATTGCTTTGTACGATTCATCTTCGGGATCTCAAGGGACGCCTCTGTTTCCCGTTTTTATGAATTGTTGAATTGGCTTTATCCTTCCTACCGTCGTAAGTATTTCCTGGCATCCTTCCTCTCTCAAGTCATCCAATCCCACCGACCTTCATACATCTCCGAGCTCCTCCAATTCAAATCCTCTGTTCGCTCTCGCAATACTCCTTCCAGGTCTTCTGATTTATACACAAGGACCCACTGAACCGCCGCTTTCGACAGATCGTTCATTATCCGATCCTCATCCTTATGGATCCCTTCCCACATCCGTCAATCCAATACCCTTCCTACCTTTAAATCCCGCCTGTTCAATCATTTCTTATCAATCCAGTCCCCATAAAATTGTAAATAGATACTACTGTAAATATGTATATAAATTATTACATTGTTCTTTATTTTTACTTTATTTTCAATTTTTATTATTAACTTATTTAAGTTAGAAAGTGACATATAATTTTTAATATGACTATTTCATTACTCAACATTTCTTTTTATTTAACTCTGAGGCTCCTAAGCCCCCATTATTGTCCTTATGTATTATCCTAAAGGGACTTGTCACAAAATAAATAAAGTATTATTATTATTTCCATTCTTTATTCTCGCTTTGCGGGGTAAGTTTCTGAGGTGGGAGACCAGAAGTCCAGCCACTTCAGATTAATATCTATTACTTTTTAGATATTTAAAAACTTTCGAACAATACGTGCCGTATCTAAGAGAACTGAGTGTTGAGCCTCTTTCAGCACTTCAAGAGGTAATTTTAATCCCATTGTGCCTGCCACTGTTGTCTTTGGTATCAATCCATTGGAGGATATTATAATTGGAGTGGTGGTGACGTTCCCCAAATGATATAATTCCTTCAGTTCGATTGCCAGTTCCTGGTATTTTCTCAGTTTTTCTCCAACAGTGGAGCTTATATTATTATCATTGGGGATCCCGACATCAATAAGCTCTGCTCTTTTCTCTCTCATGTCTATCAGAAGGATGTCTGGTTTATTGTGGCGCACAGTATGGTCAGTTATAATCGATTCATCCCAGTATAGCTTGAGACTACCTTTTTGGAGGAGTTTATTTGGGTGGTACCTATAATATGGAGTTTTGCCATCTAACAAGTTGAATTTCACCGCCAGAGCCTGATGAAAAATTCTAGCCACATTGTTATGCCTCTGGAGATACTCGGCGCCAGCCAACACTCCACACCCACCTGTGACATGTTGGATTGATTCCAGCGTCGCTGAGCATAATCGACATTTATCCGTTGTTGTTGCGTCTTTAAGAACATGCCTTCTATATGATCTAGTAGCAATAACTTGGTCTTGGATGGCGAGCAAAAATCCTTCTGTCTCGGAGAATATCTTTTCAGCTTTCAGCCATTCAATGGATATTTCCTTGTCGATCGAACTATCATTTAACTCATTTATTATTATTATTATTATTATATAGCTAAGTGAAAGTAAAAAGGTTCTTCGCTTGTGCTCTACACCTTCAACTTAGTTTTCCCGATCAGCTGACTTACCTACGAAGGTAATAGTTATAAAACATTCTCTCCTTTCTGCTAACGACCTGATATTATAAAATAGCACTAGGAGGCAGGCAGGGCCTCCACCGTTGGATGGAAGCCGAAGGACGAGGCTGATAGCATCTGTAATTTCCCATCACCTTGTTACGCTGGAGCAAATAATTACCTCGGCAGTCAATGGAATTTCCCTTCGGGTCTCCTCTCTATCTGGGTCAAAAAGCAGAAATATATCTTCTACACGGAGAAGGATCAATAATAATTTAATGTTTACAGAATAATTTACACAGATTACGGCCGTAAAACATTTCTCTACAATCAGTATACATTAATATATTTTGTACAGGATATAAAATATCTGATGCATCCACTCACACAATTTTCCATTTTAATTGAGGCATTCCATAACCTTAAATTACTAAGAATATTGATGAATTTTCATTTTACACAATAAGAAAACTGTTCTTGTAATTATATTTGTTGTATAAAAAGGTTTATTTCATTTTTGAGCACATACTGTCCACTTTACATAAACAGAAAACTTTCAGTTCAAGTCATAAAATACTAAAATGATGGTTTTCCGGCTGACTCATATTTTCCAAAGCAATTAAAAGTAATGGAACTTTTGATTTATAAAAACAAATATGGCATTTTATGTAGGAAGAAACAACCTACAATGGTGGACCAGTTATATGTCATGATTAATTGAAATTCCCAAGTAAATTTGACTTTGCAAGTATCATGAAAACGTCATCTTTTAAAATATAATTTTTTAATCAACAATTTCATTTCCTAATCATTTAGTAAAAGTATTTCAATAATGTCATTCTGATTCTAAATAAAAAACGCTGCAAATTATTTCACAATGGTTTATTATTTCCAAACAATTATACCTCTAAAGTAACATTACCTAATAGTATTGATATATATTGATTTCGATGAAACTTCCTTCATTTTTTAGTAAATTTAAATACCTTTGAAACATCTTATTACAATATCAACAAAAAAGTATAAACTTTTCTAGTAATTCGGAATTAAATTATACCATCCCTCGTAACTTTTTTTCCAGCTTCTTTTCGTTGAAGTATGTGACCTCTGATTTTATATCAAAATTCGAAAAAAATCGGTCCACTAGTTTCGGAGAAAACGCGCGGACGGCGGACGGACAAAAAAATTTTTATTCGTTTTTCGAATTCTACGCATCCTGAAACGTGAAACCTCAAATTTTGAGAGGGGGTTAAGTTTTTGAATTTTTTGGTCGATCACAGTGGTTGATTCTTGAAAATAATAAACCAAAATTAACTATAGAGTATTTAAGAGAAATGTACTGTATTTCTTTTCATTTTATGATTTATTCATTTTTAAGACCATTTTCGGTTATATCGAGTTAATGCACAGAGTTTAAACA